TGGCTGACGTGAATGAATTGGGAGAGACCGTGTTGTTTACCGCGGCAGATCGAGGTCATCTTGATGTTGTGAAGGAGTTGCTCAAGTATGCAAATAAGGACAGTATTTCGAAGAAGAATCGGTCTGGTTTCGATCCTCTGCAGCTGGTGACTTGCTTTCTGTGGAGAGTCTCTGTGGCGAGTCATCGTCCCACGACCGTGCCCGTGGCTCTTCAGGCCAAGTGGTCTGGTACCCCACTACTTTTCGCAGCTGGTGAATTGCTTTCTACAGACTGGACAGATTGTTTAAAGAACATTGTTCATGACCCACGTGGTCTCCCTTTTTTTCCTTTTTTATTTTTTATTTATTATTATTATTATTATATCCAATACTCACTGCACTCATATTTCCCACTTACCAACCGTACCCACGTTCTTTCCTACTTTTCTTTTCTTTTAATATCTATATATATTTTTATTATCATATCTTTCCACCAATATATTTCCACTATCATTGTTTCCATCACCCACTTTAATTCTATATTCCCTCTCTCTCTCTCTTCGACGTTTCATATATATTATATATATATACCACCCTTCCAAACCAGCCCACAGTTTACCTCAACCTTCATATATATTTCATTTATTTTTTATTTAGTTATTTTCTCTATAAAGTATGCTTAAAATTCATAATTTTAATAACAACACAGTGCCTATCACACAAAAAAACGAATAGCAAATAAGACAACTTAAGTCAATTCTTCATATTGGAGAAGTGCATTTCATTAAGATTCCTTCCCCTTTTTCCCAAAAAAAAAAAAAAAAAAAAAAACCAACACCCATCGGAACAATGGTATTTTTCTTCTCTACTCTGCTGCAGGTCTCTTCTTCTTGCCTCCGTCTTGGCCAGCCCTTGCCGGTGTTGCCTCCGGATTTCCCACGCCACCGAGCACATTTACTCCATGCTCCTCCACTGCCGCATATGGCGGCCCTCCAAATCGGAACATCACGGTGGCCTTCCGCTTCAGCTCCTTGTTTTCTGCCCTTAGCACGCTTATCTCTGCTCGCGCATCCTTATACATGCGTTGGAGCAGAGCCAGTTGGGCGTTTAATTGCTGCACCTCATTTGTCCTACTCTGCAGCCGGTTCGAAAAATTTGTGACCGCCGTCATGGTTTCCACGCATGACTTCAGAGTATACTGATTAGCCTCAATATCAGTTTGCATCGCCATTTTTTGCTCCACCGACCGCATCGGAAAGTTCAATGGAGCAAAAACAGAGGTGTTTGGTTGCGGTTCACTGGCCACCGCACCAGTTATTTCTCCTGCATTAAATGAAAGAAAAAAGAACTAAGTACTATATTTCACTTTGATGTGGAAACGTAACAATGGGTTTTTGTCTTTCTAATATTGGCCCTTATCGTATTTTATCCATAAATTAGAAAAATTCATACATAAATATAATAATAGAAAGAAAGACAGAATGAATAAAGGAAAATTATTACGAATAGGTTTTTCTAATGATGAAGGAGTATGGGCGCATTCCCTCATATAAAATAGTATCAACCCATTGCGTATTAATACTTATCAAGTATAGAATAAATTTGCTTCTCTTTGTTCTACGAACAGAATTGTTCCATTATTATCAACAAAATAGAACAAATCTTACCCCTTGCTCCAAGATAATCCACTGAACAAGGGAGATCTATAGCATAGTCATAGTATATTTCAATGCAATAAAGTTACGTAGTGTCTATTTTTCTTTGATAAAGAGGTATTTCCATGGGTTTGCCTTGGTATCGTGTTCATACCGTTATCTCCTTTATTCTTATAGATTGGCATTAAAATACTCTTTCACTCATCTGGCATGTTCCTAGTCAACAAAATTTTGCTAAACAACCTAGTCAACCAAGCAACTCCCTTTTTACCCAAGCACTTCCAAGCTTCAATAGGGATATCATCGGGTCCTAAAGCCTTATTTGATTTCATCTTCTTAAGTGCAATCTCCACTTCAAAGTTCCTAATCCTGCGATAGAACCTATAGTCTTGGTTTATCATATTACTAGTTATTTTTTCCCCTATTGATGTACCTTCATGTTCCTCATTTAATAGTTTCTCAAAATAGTTCTTCTATCTCTCCTTAATTTCTTTATCCTTCACCAATACCTTAGAATCCTCACTCTTGATTAAAATCTCTTATTTTCCTCTCATGTATCTTAACAAGTTTGTGTGATTGGCGTATCCCTTGAAAGGATGAAGCACTTCTCTCTCTCTCTTGTTCATTTTTTTTTCTTTTTTTTCTATCCAGCAAGGTACTATTCACATCATTATTCATAGTGCTTAGAACAACCACCCAACTGTTCCTAAACACTTGTGTTTGCATTCCCAAAACCCTACCTTTTTACAAACCCTTAAATTCCTATTTTTTAAATACTTTTATAGCCACAAAATCCCACAAAATCCAGCCCTATAAGTCTGTTGTTGCTGCTACCAATAAACTTAACCTGGGCTCACTGCATGTAGGAAAGTAATCCCTACTCATCCTACATCAATATATCAATTTATCCAACACTCTCTCTCACGTGCAACCCCGTCTCACAAAGAGACATAATAGAAAGAAGTAGAATGCAAATAGGGTTCAAATGCAAACGAAAAGACTTGAACCAAGACTTTCTCCAACTTGAACTCTAATACCATGTTAGGTCACTGATTCTCCCAAAAACTTAAAGCTGATAGAAAATGGGCTCATCAATATATATCAAGCTATTCAACACTATGGAATACTTATGGAATATGAACTTTTTCAGATGCTCATTGACTCTGGATGTACAGGCTGAAGGTTACAAACCCAAGTATAAATCATTGCAAGAAGTTCTGAAGTCAAGCCGCAAGATGGAAGCCAAGTTAATTGGATACGATGAAGCACCAATTGATGTTACTGCTCCGGATGCTATTCCATTCGGTAACTTGAAGTTGCAAGAATCTTCCAGAAGTCAGTATAACGTTAAAGTGGACCACCTTGATGAAGAGCCTAAAAAGATTTTCCCAGTCAGTATCAGACCTATAAGACCACCCCAACCTCTGCTTGAGGCACAGAAACCACAATCGACTGCAACCATCGAAAACAATAGCTGCAATTCAGACCCACTGGCAACAGGTATTGTTTGGAAAGAAATTTATGTGCTTTTATGGTGTTTGTGTTGCATTCTTTGACCGTTGGGTAATTTCTAGGTGGCTCATCTAAGAAATCAGCAAGGTCATGGTTGTATGAAATTTGTGCGGCTAACTGTTGGAAACCTCCATCTTTTGAATGTTGCAACGAGACAGGACCACATCACTTGAAAGAGTAAGTTCATAGTCTTGAAATACTCCTAATTTTAAAGAAATAATTGTTGTAGTTAAATCTCTTCAAATATGCAATACCTTCACCATGACTTATTTGCCATTCGAAAACAATTTAGCAATAATGTCAACTTAGGGTTGACATTACCATTCTTAGTATTCTTATATTAGGGTTGCCAATAATGTCCTCATGAAAACAATTAGGTCCACATTTCAGGGCGGTGTAAAGGCAGTTTTGGTGGCTGAAAATGAAATACAGTGTGCTGAATTTGCATGAAATTCTCTCCATAGACTCCGTTTCATGTGTTTAAAAATGTTTGGCTTCAGGTTCAGTTTGGCAAAGGCTTTCTAAATGGTCTTTAATGGAATTTTTTTTAGTTTTTTCCCTTCCACTAGAAGAATCTAATATAATATATGTTGAAAGTCAAAAAATAGAAAGTTCGCAACCCAACTTTTTTTTTTCGTTCGTCTTTGGTGGACTTTTTTTATTTTTATGTTTTATCCACTAAAGAAAATCAACAAAAAAGTTGCTAAAAACCCAATTACAAAACCAGAGCTCAATCTAGAAATTTCACTGTAATCGCCTTTGCATCACGTTAGCTAATAGGAACAAGTCTTTTTTTTTTTGTTTTTTGGGTGCTTTCAAATACTCTTGAGTGATTTTAGCCAAGTTGCTCCAACGAATGTCTAAATTTTTGTAACATTATTATTCATGAAATCACCAATGATGTTCCATCACTAATTCTCTGTTTACTTCATGTTGAACCTGAATCTGTTTTGCAGATTCACTTTCAAGGTGTCTGTGAAAATTGAAGAAGCCTCGGATGTGCTTACAGCTTTTGGAGCACCTCATTCCAGAAAGAAAGACGCAGCAGAGCATGCAGCCAAAGGGGCAATTTGGTACCTAAAGAATGCTGGATATGTGCATGAGTAAAACAGAGGTTAATTTCTAACCTTTCTTGAGTTAGAGTGAAAGAACCATTTGCCCATCCATATGTACGCATAGTTATTTACAAGCAGGTAACCATTGACTTAACTCTTAAATAGCAAAGACTAACTTTCTATGGATATGATAACTGTAAAAACTGCTACTTATGTGGCTGATGCCCCGAAGGGAAGGCATGGGTGATCGATCGCCCATTATCGTGTATATAACTGAAGTGTGTGATGAGATATGAATATATGTAGAAATCGTTCAAGTCGATTCGCAAAAAACATCTGAGCAGATGATTTGAGACTCCTCGGTTGTTTGACAGATGATTGGAAGAAACAAGGTGGTTGTTTGCCATGGTCTCCTACCCCATGTATCTCAGTAAGATGATCTCTCAAATACAAGGGCATTTTTTTTTTATTTGTTTCCTGAGATTATGCCATAGCAGCAAAGAGTTGAGTTCATCAAAGGCATTCAAACAAACCAAAAATTAATTACAACACAATCAGTTCATTGCCACCTTTTTTATTTTATTTTAATTGGATTGAGAGGCAATCTTGCAATCTCTCACCCCGACCTTTTTCACTTTTTATTTTATTTTTATTTTTTACTTTTGTATATTGATTCTCTTGACTTTAAACCAACCACGAGATTGATTTTGATGACACTTGTCATCGTGTTGTGTCACCAGAAAAATCACACATGTCCTATGCAAATTAAAGAATTTTAATTTGAAGGATTAAAGTGAAATTTTCATGAAAGTTGGCGAATGAAAAGCTTAATTGACCCATCCCTTAAAGTTGTGATATACATATCCAACAAATGAATAATGTTATACATAAATAAATTTTTTATTATATTGCCTTATAGTTAGACATTTTTTTAATAAAAATACTCAAAATGGGCCACGCTACCTCCGAACTGACCAAAGAAACCAGCTCAGCCGGAACATCCTCAATCCACACCATCATGCCTGAAAGACGCCCAGCCAATACATACGCAACCGAATTGGCCACCCTAGGAACATGAGAGAAGCAATGCCAAAGCCCAACTGTGAGAGGTGCCTTGTAGATTATGACCAGACTGAGAAAGTCGAAAATCATTCTTATTAAGAGCCCTCACAGTAGTCAATGAATCGCCTTCAAAATGAACCTCCCGAAGGCCCAACTCAAAGCAAACTCCACTGCCCTTGCAGCTGCATTGCATAGGCCTCAGCACAATCCGCCTCCACCCAACTTTGAACCTTTTCAGATAAAGATGCAATCACTGCTCCCTTATGATCACGAACAACCCCAAATGCCCTTTGCTCCCCAAACACTGCCCCATCAAAATTGAGCTTATAAATTACCTTCCGCTGGGGCCTTCCATCTAGCTCGATGATGAAATATCGCATTGGCCGCTCACCACCTAGCCGTTGCTACAGATTGCCTGGTTGCGTGCTGACCACAAACCCCAACAAAATGCTACAAATAGACCCAACCCAAACCAGCTTCATCAACTAATCTTTCCACTTCCCCAAACCATTGGCAAAATCCAGAGCAACCACCAGATTGTATATCTGCCACACTTGTTGAGCTAATGGGCATTCTCGAAAACAGCGCATAAACCTTTATTTTATTTGGGAATTTAAGCTGCCATACTGTCTTCCAAAACCGTCTTTGCTCACCCCCCTCCAACCGATGAACCTGATCGCTTACAGTTAGCCATGAAAGTACTGGGATTTATATTGATCAATACTTGTGTCTAATGGTAGGGAATGTAATAGGATTTTTGTCAAGTAAAACAAAGCAATTATTTATTTTTCTTGATTACTAATCACATCTTGCAAATGTATATTGCAATAACGCTACTCGTTTTTATGTAAATGGTGGTCTATTTTTGGAGCCATTCGCCATGTAATTTTTATGATATTTTGTAATTTATTTCATATTGATTTATTGAAATAGATCAAAAAGATTTAGGGTTGTGGGGACGGACATGAATTTAAAATTTTTAGAAAAGACAAGTTACTATCCAAGTAAGATGTTTATCAAAATTATGTACTACTAGTATCCAATGCTATAAAGAAATCTATATCAGTTCTAAAAAAAAAATTAAAAAAAGAAAAAATCTATATATTAGTTAAGGGAACCATTGCATTGACTATATTGCTACTAGCCAACACACACACCAAAAAGTCTAAAAAAGAAATAATTACTATTACTAACCGGGTAAAAATGCATATTTTTTTTAACTAGGCCGAATATCAACCTAAACAAAATGAATGCAAAATTTTCACGCAATTAGTACAAATAATTAGTAACTGAATGTTGAGGTAACAAATTC